GGAGAAGGGATCCTCAAAAAACAATAGACTTTTTTTCGGCATTTTGAAGAAAAAATTAAAAAAAAAAAAAATCAGAATTTATTGCAAAAAATGCGATTCAGTTCTACTGAATTGATGAAAGCTTCAAGGATATATATAAAAAAATACTTAAACTGGAGTTTGAAATAATTAATACTAATCAATTTATTTCAATAAAATTTGAATGAATTAAAGAAATTTAAAAAAAAAGTTTCAATATTTGAAGTTTCGGGAAAATGTTTTCATAAGATTTTTTTTTTTTTGGAATTTCGAATTTTTTTCTTAGCTCTGATTTTTTTTTTTTTTTTTTTTAAGAAATTAATGGCTGAAAAAAATAAGGCAAAACTAATCAAGCAAAACTGAATTGATGAAGTCATCAAGGAAATGGGGGAAGAGAACCTTAAAAAAACAATAGACTTTTTCGGAATTTTGAAGAAAATATTGAAAAAAAAATTGGAGTTTTTTTACAAAAAAAAAGAATTCAGAAAAAAAACTTAAACTGGAGTTGGAAATAATTAAAACTAATCAAAATTTAAATGAATTAAAGAAATTTTTAAAAAAAGTTTCAATATTTAAAGTTTTACACAAAATTGAGCTAAGAAAAATTATTTTTGTTTTTTTTTTTGAAATTTTATTTTTTTTTTTCGAAATTTTGAAAATTTTTTGAAATTTGAAAAAAAAATTACATTAAAACCCCTTAGCAGAATTAAATAAATTTCTTCAAAATTCTTCAAAATTTGATTTTAAAACTCAATTCAGCTGAGAAAAACAGGAAAAAAAAACATTTTGAAAATTTAAGCAAAGTTCAAAAAAAAAAAAAAAATGTTTGCTAAATTAAATAAAATTCCTAAAAGGGTCAATATTTAAGGCTTTAGACATAGTTTTGCTAATGTTTTTTTTTTTTTTTTTTTGACTTTTTGAAAATTTTTTTCAAACTTTGAACATTTTTCGAAATTAAAAAAAAAAACAAAAATTCTTCATTAAATTTAGTCTAGCCTAGATAAATCATACAAATTCTTTTAAAATTTTTAATTTTAAAAAATTCTGAATAATTAAGAGAAAAATTAATTTATTTTGAATTTTTTTTTCTTCAAAATTTTGAAAATCTTTCGAAATTAAAACAATGAAATTCCTCAGCTGAATTAATGAAATTTCCTCTAAATTCTTAAAAAATAGATCATAAGAGTCAATTCAGCTGAGAAATACAGAAAAAAAAGCATTTCGAAAATTTAACCAAAGTTTAAAAAAAATTACATTATTTTATTGCTAAATTAAATAAAATTCCTATGAGGGTTAACATTCAAGGCTTTAATTTTTAATTTTGCAAAAAATATTTTTTTTTTGACTTTTTTAAAAATTTTTTTTAAACTTTGAAAAATTTTTGAAATTTAAAAAGTCAATACTTCTTCATTGAATTCTAGCCTAGTTAAATCATAGAAATTCTTTTAAAATTCTTATTTTTAAAAAATTCTAAATAATTGAGCTAAGAAAAATTAATTTATTTTGAATTTTTTTCTAAATTTTTCGAAATTAAAAAGTTAAAACATTAAAATTCCTTAGCTGAATTAATAAAATTTTCTAAAAAAAGGGTCAATATTTAAGACTTTAAATATAATTTTGCTAATTTTGCTATATTTTTTTTTTTTTGACTTTTTTGAAAAAAATTTTGAAACTTTGAAAAATTTTTGAAATTTAAAACAAGTCAGTACTTCCTCATTGAATTCAGTCTAGCCTAGTTAAATCATATAAATTCTTTTAAAATTCTTATCTTTAAAAAATTCTGAATAATTGAGCTAAGAAAAAAAATTAATTTATTTTGAATTTTTTTTTTTTAAAATTTTGAAAAATTTTCGAAATTAAAAAATTAAAACAATAAAACTCCTTAGCTGAATTAATGGAATTTCCTCAAAATTCTTTAATATTTGATCTTAAGACCCAATTCAGCTAAAAAAAAACATGTCAAAAAATTTAGCAAAGTTTAAAAAAATTAAAAAAAAATGTTTGCTTAATGAAATAAAATTTCTAAAATGGCCTATATTTAAGGCAATATAACTTTGCTAAAATTTTCTTTTTGACATTTAAAAAAAAAATGTAAAACTTTGAACATTTTTCGAAATTTAAAAAAAAAAATCAATACTTCTTCATTGAATTTAGTCTAGCCTAGTTAAATCATAGAAATTCTTTTAAAATTCTCATTTTTAAAAAATTCTGAGCGATTGAACTAAGAAAAATTAATTTATTTTGGATTTTAATTTAAATTTTGAAAAATTTTCAAAATTAAAAAAAAAACATTAAAACCCCTTAGCTGATTTAAAGGAATTTCTTGAAAATTCTTTAAAATTTGATCTTAAAACTCAATTCAGCTGAGAAAAACTGAAAAAACATTTTGAAAATTTTAGTAAAAAACTTTACTTAAAAAAATATTTGTTAAATTAATGAAATTTCCAAAAAAAGGTCTATATTTAAGACATTAGACATAACTTAGCTAAAACTTTTTTTTGAATTTTTAAAAAAAATTTTGAAACTTAAAAAAATTTTCGAAATTTTGAAAAAAGTCAATACTTCTTCATTGAATTCTAGCCTAGTTAAATCATAGAAATACTTTTATAATTCTTATTTTTAAAAAATTCTGAATAATTGTGCTAAGAAAAATTAATTTATTTTGAATTTTTTTTTCAAAATTTTGAAAAATTTTCAAAACTATAAAATAAAAAAAACAATAAAACTCCTTAGCTGAATTAAAGATATTTCCTTGAAATACTTTAATATTTGGTATAACAACTCAATTTAAATGAGAAAAATTTAAAAACATTTTAAAATTTTAGCAACATTTTATTAAAAAATTGGTGAAGTAAAAACTTTTTGAAAATGTGTCAATACTTAAGGCTTTAGGCAAAATTCGACTAATAAAAACTGATTTTTTTATTTATTGTCGAAGTTTTCAAACATTTTTGCTGAAATTTTGAAATTTTTTCAAAATTAAAAAAAGGTTAAAATTTCTTGCCTGAATTGGACTAAGCTAAGCTGAATTAAGGGCATTTCCCCAAAATTGTTAAATATTTGTTGTTTAAATGAAAACTAGTTAAAAAAATTGAAAATTAGGGAAAATTTACAAAAAAAATGTTAATATATACAATTTTAAACATGATTCGGCTTAAAAAAAGTTTGTTTTTAATTTTTTTTCGAAATGATTAAAAATTCCTTAATACTTTTGAGGTTTAGACTCAATGAAAAAGTTGAAAAAGTTTTGAAAGCCATTTTCTAAAAAAAAAAGTTGAAACCTGAAACCCCTAAAAATTCTAAATATTTGGTGTTTAAACTCAATTCAGTTGAGAAAATTTTAAAAAAAACTTGAATTTTTTTTCCGAAATTTTGAAAAAAAAAAATCATTAAAGCTCCTTGTAACTTAACTGAATTTAAGAATTTTTCTAAAAATTCTTCAATATTTCATGTTTACACTCAATCAAAAAAGTTTTGAAAGCCATTTTCCAAAAAAACTCGAAAAAAATTAAAAAAAAAAATTGAAACCCCTAAAAATACTAATTATTTGTTGTTTAAACTCAATTCAGCTGAGAAAACTTTAAAAAAATTTTGAAAAAATTTTCCGAAATTTTGAATTTTTTTTTTCCGAAATATTTAAAAAAACATTGAAACCCCGAAAAAAATCTATTTGTTTTTTTTTTTTTATTTTCCAATTTTTAAGAAAAAATTTCGAAATTTAAAAAAAAAAATTATTGAAAATTTTGAAAAATTTTTCCGAAATTTTGAAATTTTTTTTCCGAAATTTTGAAAAAAGAAAATCATTAAAGCTCCTTGTAACTTAACTGAATTTAAGAATTTTTCTAAAAATTCCTCAATATTTCATATTTACACTCAATCAAAAAAGTTGAAAAAGTTTTGAAAATTTTAACATATTCCAAAAACAAATACAAAATATTTAAAAAAAACATTGAAACCCCGAAAAAAATCTATTTGTTTTTTTTTTAATTATTCCATGTTTTAAGAAAAAGTTTCGAAATTTTGAAAAAAAAATCATTGAAACCCCAAAAAATTCTAAATATTTGTTGTTTAAACTCAATTCGGCTAAACCAAACTTAAAAATTTCCCAAATGTTGATAAACATTTTGAAATTTTAAATAAAAATTTCACTGAAAATCTGTGTTTACCACAATTCTGCTTAGAGTAATTAAAAATTTTTGAATTAAAAAAAAAATGAAATTTTCAAAAAAATTAAAATTACCAAAATACGTATATTTTTTATTTCCCCAAAACTTAGCAGAATTATTAAATATTCCAATCAGCTAAAGTTAATCTAGCTTTATGACCGCAACGGTATTCATTCAAAATTGTCATGCAAAAAATGTTTGCAAAATTTATGTTACGCTTGTGTGTCATTTAGCATGGCTAAGGTGACGGGATTTGTTTTAAATAAAAATAAGTCATCGTTTAAAAAAAATGTTTCCATAAACTCAACTAGAGCTTGGCTGAATTGATTGGAAATGCTGGAGGAGAAATAATTTTCAATATTTTTTTTTTTTTTTTATTATTTTTTTTTTTTTTGGTTATTTTTTTTTTTTTGTTATTTTTTTTAAATTTTCCTTTCCAAATAAAAATTTGATGCATTTGAGGTTGAATGAAATTTTTTGAAATTCAGCTGAATTATATTTTTTATAAGTATTCGGAACTTACCTAAAAAATAATTCAAAATTAATTTTGATTCAAATATTTAAAAGTCATCTAGACTTAATTAGAAACTCTTAAACTTAAAAAAATAATTCAAAATTAATTTTCATCCTGATATCTACAATTCAGCCTGACTGAATTCGAATTTTGTTGAATTTGGAAAAATTGCAAAATTTTTCCCATTAAAATTTGTTTGTTGTTGGCTACACCCATTTGAGATTTTTTTTCCAAAACCCAGATTTTTTCCAATTTTTCCCACTTTTCTAACCAATTTCTTTTCCATTTTCTTCTTTTTCCAGTTATAACAAATGGCCACCATCGATGGACGACCCGCACAATATGGGATATCACTTAGGCAATTGCGCGACCTCATGGAACATCGGGGTCGCGAAGGTGTTCACATGGTAGATCAGATGGGCGGTGTCAACGAAATCTGTAAAAAATTATACACTTCCCCCACAGATGGTAAGGAGCAAAAAAATACAAAAAAAAAACCACCTCAAGCCTCCCCTTGATATCTGAAATATTCCATTTTTAAATCTCTCTCTAAGGGAGCGGGGTTAGGCATGCCTGCCTTCAATGGACATTATTCTCTCTGCACACTCTTAATGTAATCAGAGATCATTTATCACCGTTTGCGGTGATTTCTCTTACGTCCGTTCTCTTTTGCTTGTCAGAGAGTAAGAAAATTGAAAGAAGAAGAAAGTGACACTCTCTGTCCGGCCCCATCTCTAGAGAGTTAATTCCCGCACTCTCTCTCTCCTCCTTTGAATATTTTTAACTCTCTCAAATATTTCTCTCTCCCTCTTCCAGGTTTAAGTGGATCGAAATCCGACATCGAACATAGACGAGAAAATTTTGGCTCGAATAGCATACCACCGAAACCTCCGAAAACATTTTTAACTCTAGTCTGGGAAGCATTGCAGGATGTGACCCTCATAATTTTAGAAGTAGCTGCGATAGTCTCCTTGATTCTGTCGTTTTACAAACCCGCCGATGAAGATGCTCGTAAGTACAAACAAAACACAATCCCTCTCCCGCATTTTTCATTCCAAAAAAATCTCTCTCTCTCTCTCTCTCTTTGACAGCTGTTTTGGAAGAAGAAGACGACCATTATGGCTGGATTGAAGGCCTGGCCATTCTAATATCCGTGGTTGTGGTGGTCCTGGTCACCGCCTTCAATGACTACTCCAAAGAGCGGCAATTTCGTGGTCTGCAGAATCGCATAGAGGGCGAACACAAATTCTCTGTCATACGCGGTGGCGAGGTGTGTCAAATCTCGGTGACAGATATTGTGGTTGGTGATATTGCCCAAATCAAGTACGGTGATCTGTTGCCGGCCGATGGTGTTCTGATACAGAGTAATGACCTGAAGGTAGGGGGAGACACTCGTCAAATTTCCAAAACAAAATAAATTTTCCCTCTATTTTTATTTCAGGTGGATGAATCGTCGTTGACCGGCGAATCCGACCACGTCAAGAAGGGTGTCGAGTTCGATCCCATGGTATTGTCCGGTACTCATGTCATGGAGGGCAGCGGTAAAATGGTTGTCACCGCCGTCGGTGTCAACTCTCAGTCTGGTATTATTCTCACGCTGCTCGGTGCCACCGACGAAGAGTCCCAGGGCAAAAAGAAGAAGCTGAAGAAGGGTAGGCTGAGTCTTATTTTATCTATCCAAAGGCTTTTCCAAGCTTTAACTGTTCAACAACTAATCTCTTTTTTACTAATTTTTTACTCTCACGTTTTTGTTAAAAAAAAAATATTTATTTAACTTAACTAACACTGGGAGAAAGCGAAAGAGAGGAAGAGAAAACCCCTAACCACGGTTGCCACTTTGGTCCAATTGGACCAAAAATGGTCCTTTTTTTTACGTTTGGTCCACTGGTCCACTTTTTTCTGATTTGGTCCCTTTTATGAAAATGTTTACAATTATGATACAAAGAAATTTTGAGTGTTTCATCACGCCTTTAAAAATTTATTTACGAAAATCAACACGGTTCACATAAAGCGAAAGATTTGATTCGTTGACAACACTTGAAAATATAATCAAATTTTACCAACCCACAATAGTAAATCAAGTGGCAATATTACCTGTCAGTCAAAAAACAAAGCTAAATCTAGCGGGAAAAAGCTAAATTGACAACACTGGTCAATTGTTTCTTTTGTTTACAAATCAGAAATTGACAAATTAACTTCAGTGTAACAAATATTTTATAATGTAATTGTTTGTGTAAAAGTAAAACTAGACAATAATTTACCATGGACAAGTACAGAGCAAACAAGCCATGTTCAAAATGTGATCAAGAAAAAGGGCCAAGTGAAGTTAGATTCTTTTCTTAAAGAACAAAATGATACTTTAGAAAAGCAAATCCGAAACGCAGAATTCAGTTTAGTGATGTTCATAATGGCACATAATCTTCCATTTATCCTTATGGATTATTTGCCAAATTTGCTAGCCGTGTGTTGTCCGGACTCAAAAATAGCGCAGTCATTACGCTGCGGCAGAACCAAATCGACCCAGCTAGCAGAGATTTTAGGGAACGAAGCAATGAAGAGAATAGTATCGGATCTCAGAACGTGTAAATTCTCTTTGATTGTGGACGAAACCACGGACGTATCAACAACAAAGTGTCTGGTTCTGGTGGTAAGGTATTTTGATAAGTTATCGAATACCATTCGTGACAGATTTTTATCACTAGTTGAACTTACCAAAAGCGATTCTGAGTCAATATACCAAACGATAAAGTAATTTTTTGAAAAGCACAGTGTACCTTTAAGTAATTTGATAGGGCTAGCAACTGACGGAGCCAATACGATGGCCGGCGAATTAAATGGGCTGAAAACAAAATTAAAAAATGATACTAATATATTTTACATCAAATGCACTTGCCACTCGCTACATTTGTGTTCGAGCTACGCCAGCAAACAGCTACCAGCAAAAATTGAAAAGCTGTGTAGAGATATATACAAATTTTTCTCGCACAGCCCAAAGCGAATCAACGAGTTCAAGGAATTTCAGGATTATTGTGGCGTAAAACCTCATAAAATACTTGGAATTTCTTTTACTCGTTGGCTCGCTCTGGAAAGTGTGATTGCACGGATTAATGAACAGTGGGAAGCGCTTCGACTATATTTTTTATCCTCGTGTCTTGAAGTAAGTGGCATTAGTGCATTTGAATTAGCGAATTCAATTGGTGATCCGGAACTAAAAGTTTACATGTTGTTTTTGGCCTACGTATTGAAAATAATTAATACCCTGAATAAAGAGTTTCAATCTGAAAAAGTTCGCTTACCCTTTTTGTACTCCCAAATTGAAGTACATTTTAAACTACTTTTGAGTAATTTTATGCATAACGACTTTGTAAAAAATATTAATTGTATAGAAAATTTTAATATACATGACAAAACGAAATATCTGCAAGCTAAAAATATTTTTATAGGAAGTAGCGCAGAAAACTTTCTTGAAAGCGATAAATTTACGGATTCGCAACGAATCACAATTAAAACAAATATTTTAAACTTTTACGTTGAATTTTTGAAACAAATTCAGAAACGGTTTGACTTTGGAAGAACTGATTTAAAAAATTTATGCATAATTACTCCCAACAAAGTTCTATCAGACACAGAAACTTCAATAATGCCTTTAGTAAGCAATTTTTCTCATTTAATTAAATGTGATATAAATATTATTTTAACACAATGGAAACTCTTAAGACTTTTAAACAGTAATCTTAAACCTGATATGGACGTTTGCGTATTTTGGGAAAAAGTTAGTTTATTTAAAAACGGTATGGATGAGAAATGTTTTCAAGAATTGACTGATTTTGTATATGATTTAATGAGCCTTCCACATAGTTCGGCGGCAGCAGAACGTAAATTTTTTGAACTTTCTCTTATCAAAACCAAATTAAGGAATAAATTAGAGTTCAGTTCAATCAATAATATAATGCTGTCCAAAGAACTTTGTGCGCAAAAATCGGAGCCTCATTATGTTTGGTCAGTAAAACACATAGGCTGGGCTTAGAATAGAATCACCATCATATTATATTATTTTTATTATATTTTATTATATACATTTACATCAATATATCTGTATAAATTTTATGTTAATTTGTTTTATGTATTTATGTGCAAATTGAATTGAAGCACTTTTTGTTAATGTTTAGAAATCTTTACACTTCATTTTTACTTTTTGTGTTAAATAAATGTTTTGTTAAATAATATTGTAAGCATTGAGGATATGCGAAAAAAATTGCAAACAAATTGGTCCTTTTTTTGATGAATTTTGGTCCCGAAAAAAAATTTTGAGTGGCAACCGTGCCCCTAACCAACCTAAGAGGCATTTGATTTCTTTTCGTGTGTTCGGGAGAGGACCTTAAGAGAGGAAAAGTTGGAAATATCAAATTAGGGACCATTTAAACAAAAATCCCCACTATGAACATAAAACTGTTATACTAGGCAAGAATTTTTTTAAAAATATTTGCGAACATTATAACAGTCGTCGATTTCTTTAAATATATTTTCGTAGAAATGTTAAACTGTTATACAAGGGCAGAATATTTTAAAAAATATTTTCTGTAACTGTTATACATTGCGAAGACATTTTAAAAATATTTTCTCTAACTGTTATACAAGGCGGGGATCTTTTAAAAGATATTTTCTCTAACTGTTATACAAGGCGAGAATATTTTAAAAATATTTTCTCTAACTGTTATACAAGGCGAAGATATTTTAAACAGTCGTGGATTAAAAAAAAAAATTTCTTTAACTGTTATACAATGCGAGAATATTTTAAAAATATTTTGTCTAACTGTTATACAAGGCAAAAATATTTTAAACAGGCGTGGATTTTAAAAATAAATATTTTCTTTAACTGTTATACAAGGCGAGAATATTTTAAAAATATTTTCTTTAACTGTTATACAAGACGAAGATCTATTAAATAGGCGTGGATTTTAAAAAAAAATATTTTCTTTAACTGTTATACAAGACGAGGATGTTTTAAAAATGTTTTCTCTAACTGTATACAAGACGAAGATATTTTAAACAGGCGTGGATTTTGAAAAAAAAAACATTTTCTTTAACTGTTATACAAGGCGAGAATATTTTAAAAATATTTTCTCTAACTGTTATACAAGGCGAAAATATTTTAAAAATGTTTTCTCTAACTGTTACACAAAGCGAGTATATTTTAAAAATATTTTCCCTAACTGGTATACAAGGCGAGTATATTTCAAAAATGTTTTTCTCTAACTGTTATACAGGGCTAAGATATTGTGATATTTAGATATTTAAAAAATATTTTTCGAACTGCAAGGCGATGATTTTACAAAAATATTTTCTCGGACAGTTGCAATAGGCGTGGACTTTTTAAAAATATTTTCTCAAAGTGCTATACAAGCGATGATTTTTTTCGAACTGTTATACAGAGCGGGGATTTTCAAAAAACATTTTTCCAACTGTTATAACAAACGTGGCTTTTTTAAAATATAACTGTTATACACGCCTTGGACTTTTTAAAATATTTTTTCCAACTGTTATACACGCCGTAAATTTTTAAAATTATTTTTCCAACTTTTATACATAGCGGGGATTTAAAAAAAAAACATTTTTCCAATTGTTATACTCAGCGAGAATTTTTAAAATTTTTTAACTGTTATACATAGTGGGGATTTTTAAAAATATTTTTTCCAACTGTCATACGTGAACTTTTAAAAATATTTTTTAATAATTTTTCCAAATTTTATGTCAAGCTGGGATTTTTTAAAATATTTTTTAACTGTGATACACGGCGTGGACTTTTTAAAATATTTTTTTCAACTGTTATACTTAGCGGGAATTTTTTTAAATTATTTTTTCCAACAGCTATGCGTAGTGAGTGAGTTATACTGTTAAACTGTTATACACAGCGTGAATTTTTAAAAATATTTTTCCAACTGTTATAAATAGCCATGATTTTTTTAAACTATTTTTTCAACTGTTATAAATAGCCAGGATTTTTTTAAAAAATATTTTTTTCAACTGTTAAACACGGCGTTAATTTAAAAAAAAAAGTAAAATTTGTAAAAGTATTTTTTCCAACTGCTATACATATCAGGGATTTTTTAAAATACTTTTTCAAACTGTTATACATGTCCTGAGTTTTTAAAAATATTTTTTCTAGCTGTTATACATGGCGCAAAATTTTTAAAAATATTTTTTTCAACTGTTATACACGTCGTGAATTTGTAAACATATTTTTTCAACTGTTTACTGTGCCTTTAAAAAAATATTTTTTCTAAATGTTATACATAACGAGGATTTTTTAAAAATATTTTTTCTAGCTGTTATACAGAGCTGGGATATTTTAAAAATATTTTCTCTAAAGGAGGATATTTCAAAAAGCCGTGTTTTTTTAGATATTTTAATGTTTTAAAAATTATTTTTTGAATTGTTATACAAGTCGTGGATTTTTAAAAATATTTTTTACTAACTGTTATACCAAACGTGGATTTTTAAAAATATTTTATCTAACTTTTATAAATAGGCAGGATTTCTTAAAACATATTTTTCCAACTGTTATACCTAGCGGGGACGTTTTAAAATATTTCTTCTTAAAGTCATACTTACCGGGGACGTTTTAAAATATTTCTTCTAAAAGTTATACTTACCGGGGATTTTTAAAAATATTTTTTCCAACTTTTATACAAGAAGTGGATTTTTTAAGATTATTTTTTTTCAACTGTTATACATAATCAGGATTTTTAAAAATATTTTTTTTCAACTGTCATGTACAGCGGTAATTTTTTAAAATATTTTTTTTACAATTTTTTTCTAACTTTTATACAAGGAGTGGATTTTTAAAATTATTTTTTTCAACTGTTATACTTGGCGAAGAATTTTTAAATTATTTTTCCAACTGTTATACACTGCGTGAATTTTTCAAAATATAGTTTTTTACTGTTATACGAGGAGTGGATTTTTTTTTCCAATTGTTATACAAAGAGTGGATGTTTTTAAATTATTTTTTTTTCAACTGTTATACTTTTATTTCATTTTTTTTTAAATAATTTTTTTAAATTATTAAATAATATTTTTTCGTTAATTAAAATGTCGGGGATCTCGAGAAAAATCTGACATAAATAATTTTTTAAAATATGGCAATTCTTACACATTTATTCCCCTAATTCACAACATCTCCCATCTGGTTGATTTAGCAATATGGCAACTCTGTAAAATTGAATATAAATAAATTTTTGAAAAAAAAATATTTTTTCCTCCCCTACCCTTTCAATAAGGAATGCCGCACCATCAGCCATCGTTACTTTCGTTAGAAATTCGGCCGAAATGGAAGTCGTCCCTAAAGGCCTGGTTGTGAGTCCAAAGAACCTTGTAGTTTTTTCTTAACACTTATGCCTAGGTGGGCCAACAATACCTTAGGTATTGGATGGTGACAGTAGTGATCCTGGACATTGGCCACATATTTTATTTGAACACGCTTGCCTGACGAAAAACAAAACTCATTGTAAAGTCCCCTCTTTCTCCCTAAATTTTAACCCTAAATATCTAACCCCCAATGTGTCGAAACTACTAAACCAAGGGATCTTGTGTCCAGATCCTGGGTCCTTCGTGTTCAGATTTAAGCTTTACATATTTTTTTTTCTATTTTTTTTTTTTTATTTTCATTTTTTTTATTTTTTCATTTAATTTCATTTTATTTACAAATTCTCGACCCCGGTTCCACCCTGCAACCCCCCTGAAAAAAAAAACACACACACAAACTTTTTTAGTTATTGAAGAAGAAGAAGACGATGTGGAGAAACAAGTCCCACCACCCAACAAAAGTATTCCTCACATTTCAGATGGTCTCAAGTCTGAAACGGAAGGCAATCATGTCCAGAGTACCACCGGTTCGGCCCCCGAATCCGAGGGCAAAAAGGAAAAATCCGTCTTGCAATCGAAACTCACCAAGCTGGCCATTCAAATCGGTTATGCCGGCTCCACCATTGCCGTGCTGACGGTCATCATTTTGGTCATCCAATTCTGTGTCCAGACATTCGTCATCGAGGAGAAGCAATGGAAGAACACCTATGCCAATCACTTTGTCAAGCATTTGATTATTGGTGTCACCGTTTTGGTGGTAGCTGTACCTGAGGGTCTGCCATTGGCTGTAACCCTGTCGTTGGCCTATTCTGTGAAGGTAAGGCGGGGATACTCTTTTTTTCCTATGGAAAAATATTCGCCTCGGGGTGAAAATTTTTTCCTATAGAAAAATATTCACCTCAGGGCGAAAATTTTTTTTCATAGAAAAATATTCGCTTGGGGCGAATATAGAAAAATATTCGCCTCGAGGCGAAAAATTTTTTCCTATAGAAAAAAATTCGCCTCGGGGCGAAAATTTTTTTTATAGAAAAATATTCGCCTTGGGGCGAAATTTTTTTTTAAAGAAAAACATTCGCCTTGGGGAGAAAATTTTTTTCCATAGAAAAATATTCGCCTTGGGGAGAAAATTTTTTTTCTATAGAAAAATATTCGCTTTGGGGCGAAATTTTTTTGTTCTATAGAAAAATATTCGCCTTGGGGCGAAAATTTTTTTCTTATAGAAAAATATTTGCCTCGGGGCGAAAATTTTTTTCTATTGAAAAATATTCGCCTGGCGCGAAAATATTTTTTCTATAGAAAAATATTCGCCTCGGGGCGAAACTATTTTTCCTATAGAAAAATATTCGCCTCGGGGCGAAACTATTTTTCCTATAGAAAAATATTCGCCTCGGGGCGAAACTATTTTTCCTATAGAAAAATATTCGCCTCGGGGCGAAACTATTTTTCCTATAGAAACATATTCGCCTCGGGGCGAAACTATTTTTCCTATAGAAATATATTCGCCTTGGGGCGAAAATTATTTTCCTAAAGAAAAATATTCGCTTTGGGGCGAAAATTATTTTCCTAAAGAAAAATATTCGCTTTGGGGCGAAAAATTTTTTCCTATAGAAAAACATTCGCCTCGGGGCGAAAATTTTTTTCCTATAAAAAAATATTCGCCTCGGGGCGAAAATTTTTTTCCTATAGAAAAATACTCGCCTCGAGACGAAAAATTTTTTCCTATAGAAAAATACTCGCCTCGAGACGAAAATTTTTTTCTTATAGAAAAATACTCGCCTCGAGGCGAAAATTTTTTTCTTATAGAAAAATACTCGCCTCGAGGCGAAAATTTTTTTCCTATAGAAAAATACTCGCCTCGAGGCGAAAATTTTTTTCCTATAGAAAAATATTCGCCTTGGGGCGAAAATTTTTTTCCTATGGAAAAATATTCGCCTCGGGGCGAAAATATTTTTCCTATAGAAAAATAATCGCCTTGGGGCGAAAATTTTTTTCCTATGAAAAAATATTCGCCTGGGGCGAATATTCGCCTTGGGCGAATTTTTATTATTTTTCTTCATCTCCTGCTTCCCCTCATTAATCTTTTGTTGTTTGTTTCGCTTTTCCAGAAAATGATGAAAGATAACAATTTGGTACGCCACTTGGATGCCTGCGAGACAATGGGTAATGCCACTGCCATCTGTTCCGATAAGACTGGTACATTAACAACAAATCGCATGACAGTCGTCCAATCGTATATTTGCGAGAAGTTATGCAAAGTCCTGCCGAAATACAACGACATACCACAGAATGTGGCCAATTTGATTACCCAGGGTATTTCGGTTAATTCCGCCTATACGTCCAATATTATGGTAAGCTACAAAATATCTTTCAAATTTAAGGACCTTAATTAATGATATCCTTTTTTAGCCTGGTCCCACTCCCGAAGACCTGCCCACCCAGGTGGGTAACAAAACGGAATGTGCCCTGCTGGGTTTTGTCCAGGGTTTGGGTGTCAAATACCAGTCCATACGTGATGAAATCACCGAAGATAAATTCACCCGGGTCTATACATTCAATTCGGTGCGCAAGAGCATGGGTACTGTGATTCCTAGAAGCAATGGTGGTTATCGTCTCTTCAGTAAAGGTGCTTCCGAAATTATGCTCACTAAGTAAGTTGGGGGAGGCTCGGCGCTCTTATTCCAAATGCTAATCAATCATTCTCTCTCCCCTCTCGCCCTGTAGATGTACCTACATTTTCGGCCACAATGGTGTCTTGGAACGTTTCACACCCGACATGCAGGAACGTCTGATCCGCGAGGTCATCGAACCCATGGCCTGTGATGGCCTCCGCACCATCTGCATTGCCTATCGTGACTTTGTGCCCGGCAAGGCAGCCATGAACGAGGTGTCGATTGATCGTGAACCCAACTGGGATGATGAGGCTAATATTATGTCAAACCTGACCTGTCTCTGTGTTGTCGGCATTGAAGATCCTGTCCGTCCGGAAGTGCCCGAAGCCATCCGTAAATGTCAGCGCGCCGGTATTACTGTGCGCATGGTTACCGGTGATAACATCAATACGGCTCGTTCCATTGCCACGAAATGTGGTATTTTGAAACCCGAAGATGATTTCCTAATTCTGGAGGGCAAAGAATTCAATCGTCGTATTCGTGATAATAATGGCAATGTGAGTGGGAATTTTTGTTGTGAGAAAGGCAGAGAGAGAGGAAGGAGAGAATAATCGATTTTTAATTTTTTTTTTCAGATTCAACAACATTTGATCGACAAAGTCTGGCCCAAGTTGCGTGTCCTGGCTCGTTCTTCCCCAACGGATAAATATAATTTGGTTAAAGGTGGGTATGGGTTCTCAAAATTATTTCCCCTTCCTCCCCTCCCATGTTTCCCCCCTTCCACAATTTTTAGGGTCTTGATAATATTTTCCCCTCGATTTGTCTTTGACAGAATTTTCACAAATTTCGAATGAAATTTTCTTAAAAACCATCATACCTACATATATGGTTTATTCTGAGATTTATAGTGAAATTTTGTGTAGAATGTTTCATCCTTTGACACTTTCTGTCTAAGATAAAATTTTGTATTACATTCATGCATCAACTCGAAAAAGGTCTAGGAGAAATTGATGAAATGAGGAAATTTTTTCACGTTTTTTCGACAACATTAATGCGTATATTTTCTTGATATGTGATGGAAATAGGGATTTCTCTTCTCCGGTGACTTATAGTGAAATTTTGTGTAGAATATTTTTTTCTTTGACTTTTTCTGCTTAAAACGAAATTTTATGTGACTTTCATACATCAACTCGAAAAAGGTCTAGGAGAAATTGATGAAATTTTTTTCACGTTTTTTCGGCAACATTGATGCGTATATTTTCTTGATATGCGATTGAAATAGGGATTTCTCTTCTTCAGTGACTTATAGTAAAATTTGATGAGGAATATTTCTTCCTTTGATATTTTCTGCCTTAAACGAAATTTTATGTGACTTTCATGCATCAACTCAAAATTGGAAAAAAAGGTCGAGGAAAAATTGTTCAAGTAAATGAGGAAATATTTGCGCAACATTGATGCGAATATTTTCAGGATATACAATGGAAATATGGATCTATTTTCTTTGGTGACTTATAGTAAAATTTTGTGGAGAATATTTCTTCCTTTGACACTTTTTGTCTAAAACAACATTTTATATTACATTCGTGCATCAACTCGAAAAAGGTCGAGGAGAAATTGATAAAAAAAATAAGGAAATATTTTCGCGTTTTTCGGCAACATTGATGAGTATACTTTCCTGATATGAGATGGAAATAGGGATTTCTCTTCTGAGGTGACTTATACTGAAATTTTGCATAGAATATTTCTTCCTTTGACACTTTCTGCCTTAAACGAAATTTTATGTTACTTTCATGCATCAACTCAAAAGAGGAAAAAAGGTCGAGGAAAATTTTATGAAATAAATGGGGAAATATTTGCCCAACTTTCATGCGAATATTTTCACGATATACAATGGAAATATGGATCTCTTTTCTCTGGTGACTTATAGTGAAATTTTGTGTAGAATATTTCATCAGTTGATACTTTTTGTCTAAAATGAAATTTGGTGTGACTTTCATGCATCAACAAAAAATATACCCAAAAAAATTATCCAAAAATGAGCAATCTTTCGCTATAAACTTTTCTCGATTAATAATTGAAATAGGTCAAAACCTCGAATACCCCCTGTCAAAAAGCCCATAAATACTTCTTTTTAATGGTCCATAAATATTCCCTTTTGGTCCTCTTCAATCTGGCCATACCTGGTGACATCCTTCAGGCAAAGATTTATTGAGCTCAAAAATTGTTTGGTTTCGCATATGGTTTGGGGGACACGTTTTCTGTCCTCCATGGAGACTTCTATCTGGCTATACATAGTGGCTTCCTTCAGGCAAAAATTCGGCAAATATTTATTGAGATCAAAAATTGATTGGATTCGCAGATAGTTTATGGGACTCGTTTCCTGTTGTCCCCAACTAATTACTAGGGCTATGGCCCACCGATCTTCTTTCTATGGGTCTATTTCATCCTGATCATCTATGAATACCCCCTGTCAAAAAGCCCAGTTAATACTCCTTTCCAATGTTCTACAAAGATCCCCTTCTGGTCTTCCTGGAGACTTCTTTCAGACCATTTATGGTGGTTTCCTTATGGTCGGTTGTCAAAGATTTATTGAGAACAAAAATTGATTGGTTCGCAGATGATTTATGGGACTCGTTTTCTGTCACCTGTGGAAGACTATCACTCGGCCTTCCTCTCAGAGAATAGATTTTTTCTTTCGGAAAGAATTTTTTTCCAATCTGGACAATTTTTTTCTAACGTCAGATTTTTTTCAACTGCTGATGAGTATTTTTTTCACTTGGGTCTACTTCATCCTGATCATCTATAAATACAGTAATACTCCTCTCCAATGGTCTACAGAGATTCCCTTCTGGTCATCCATGGAGACTTCTTTCAGACCATCTATGATGGTTTCCTTATGGTCGGTTGTTGAAGATTTATTGAGATCCAAAATTGATTGGTTTCGCAGATGTTTTGGGGGACTCGTTTTCTGTCATCTATGGAAGGTCGTCCTCTCAGAGAATAGATTTTTTCTTTCGGAAAGAATTTTTTTCTAATTGGGACGAATTTTTTCTAACGTCAGATTTTTTCCAAAAGCTGATGAGTATTTTTTTTTCACTTGGGTCTATTTTATCCTGATTATCTATAAATGCACTAATACTTCTCTCCAATGGTCTACAAAGATTCCCTTCTGATCGTCCTGGGGACTTCTTTCAGACCATCTATGGTGGTTTCCTTATGGTCGGTTGTCGAAGATTTATTGAGATCAAAAATTGATTGGTTTCGCAGATGACTTATGGGACTCGTTTCCTGTCACTTCTGGAAGACTATCACTGGGTCGTCCCCTCAGAGAAAAGATTTTTTCTTTCGGAAAGGATTTTTTTCCTATCTGGGACGAATTTTTTCTAACGTCAGATTTTTTCCAACAGCTGATAAGTATTTTTTTTTTCACTTGGGTCTACTTCATCCTGATCATCTATAAATGCACTAATACTCCTCTCCAATGGTCTACAAAGATTGCCTTTTGGTCGTCCATGGAGACTTCTTTCAGAGCATCTATGGTGGTTTCCTTATGGGCGGTTGTCGAAGATTTATTGAGATCAAAAATTAATTGGTTTCGCAGATGATTTATGAGACTCGTTTCCTGTCATCTCTGGAAGACCATCACTCGGTCGTCCTCTCAGAGAATAATTTTTTTCTTTCGGACAGGATTTTTCCCTATCTGGGACGAGTTTTTTCTAACGTCAGAATTTTTTCAACTGCTAATGAGGATTTTTTTTCACTTGGGTCTACTCCATCCTGATCATCTATAAATTAACTAATACTCCTCTCCAATGTTCTACAAAGATCCCCTTCTGGTAGTCTATGGAGACTTCTTTCAGACCATCTATGGTGGTTTCCTTTGGGCGGTTGTCGGAGATTTATTGAGAACAAAAATTGATTGTTATATTTTTTCTTTCGGAAAGAATTTTTTCCTATCTAGGACGAATTTAGTATTTTATTTTTTTTTTCTTCACTTGGGTCTATTTTATCCTGATTATATTTGAATACACTAATTCTCCTCTCCAATGGTCTACAAAGATTCTCTTCTGGTCGTCCATAGAGACATCTTTCAGACCATCTATGGTGGTTTCCTTTGGGCGGTTGTCGAAGATTTATTGAGATCAAAAATTGATTGGTTTCGCAGATGGTTTCCTCCTTCCTTCCTGTCATCTCTGGAAGACTATCACGTCCTGTCAGAGAATAGATTTTTTATTTCGGAAATGATTTTATTCCTATCTGGGACGAATTTTTTCTAACGTCAGAATTTTTTCAACAGCTTATGAGTACTTTTCCTTTAGAAAAAAATCTGCTGAGGATATTTTTCGCTTTTCATCAATTGCTGAGAATTATTTGGTCGTCAAGACCAAAGAAAGAATTTTTTCCTATCTGGGACGAATTTTTGCTAACGTCAGAATTTTTTCCACAGCTGATGAGTATTTTTCCTTTATGAAAAAAATCTCCCTATGTCCCGAGGATATTTTTACTTGAGAAAAAAATCACCGGTTGCTGAAAATTATTTGGTCGTCAAGAAAAATTCTATTTAGCTGCCGAGGATTATTTTCCGTTGGGAAAAACCGTCTCAGAAAATATCCTCTTTAGACGCTGAGGATATTTTTTTGTTATATCCCTCTTCTCAGCTGTTGAGCATATTCCGTATATTATTGTGACAGAAAAATTCTCCCCAGCTCTTGAAGATGGGCTTCCTTTGGGGAAAAGGATCACCTCAGTTTTTTTATTTTTTTCTTTTTATTTCATTTTAAACTTCTAATGTTTTCCCTCTCCTTCTCTCTCTATTTTCATTTTTTCTATCTCTTAGGTATCATTGACAGTACCGTCAGTGACAATCGTGAAGTTGTTGCCGTCACAGGTGACGGTACCAACGATGGTCCGGCTTTGAAAAAGGCCGATGTTGGTTTCGCCATGGGTATTGCCGGTACCGATGTTGCTAAAGAGGCTTCCGACATCATCTTGACCGATGATAACTTTAGCAGTATTGTCAAGGCTGTTATGTGGGGTCGTAATGTCTACGATTCGATATCGAAATTTTTGCAATTCCAGCTGACCGTAAATGTGGTGGCGGTGATTGTGGCATTCATTGGTGCCTGTGCTGTGCAAGATTCACCATTGAAGGTAAGTTCGAAAATCTTTTGTTAAATATCAAGAAACCAAAAAAACTTTTCGTTTTTTTCCCGCCTTAGGCCGTTCAAATGTTATGGGTCAACTTGATTATGGACACGCTGGCCTCCCTGGCCTTGGCCACCGAAATGCCCACACCCGATTTATTGCTGCGCAAACCCTATGGCCGTACGAAACCCCTGATTTCGGCCACCATGTTGAAGAATATTTTGGGCCAGGCCTTCTATCAGTTGGTGATTATTTTCGGTCTGCTGTTTGTGGGTAGGTCAAAATTATTTTGGGGAGTTAGAAATGGATTCTAATATTTTTTTTTTGTTTTTTTTTTTTTTTTTTTCAATAGGTGACTGGATTTTGGACATCGAATCGGGCCGTGGCCAACCTTTGTCGGCCGGTCCCACTCAACATTTCACCATTATTTTCAACACCTTTGTCATGATGACATTATTCAATGAAATCAATGCTCGCAAAATCCATGGACAGCGCAATGTCCTCGAGGGATTCTTTACAAATCCCATTTTCTACAGCATTTGGATAGCCACCGTTGTGTCACAGGTGAGATGAAGGGAACACAAACATAGAAATTTAATAGAATTTTAATACTCTCTTCCCCTCTCTCTCTCTCGCTCTCTCTCATAGGTCGTAATCGTTCAATACGGCAAAATGGCCTTCTCCACAAAAGCTCTCTCGCTCGATCAATGGTTGTGGTGCATATTCTTTGGTCTGGGCACCCTGGTCTGGGGACAACTCATCACATCACTGCCTACCAAGAGATTCGAAAAGATGGTGTCATCATCGTCGTGAACATCGGCGGCCCCTCAAACTCACGCACAAAACTCCCATATAACTGGAAACCCACAGCAGCAGCTGCAGCAGCGTTAGGAGGAGAACGAAGAACATCCACAAAAACATACATATGTATTTTTTTCAAATTTTCTGGACCTGAGAATATCACAAAAATCAAAGCAAGCAAACCCAAGAAGATAACCTATAAAAAAATATTAAAATTTAACCTAAACAAAAAAACCAAAACCAGTCATACTCTCTTCTCTCTACTCTATACATTAAGCTACAACAAGAAACTAAACTAAAAAAAAACAACAACAAAATCGAGAAACAAAAAGCAAACAAAGAAAAAGAAGCCGAAGCAGAAGAAGAAGAAAAATAGTAAAATTTTTTCTCATCATGTTATTCATTAAAGCAAATGTTCAAATGTTTAAATGTTCAAATAAAGTGAATTTATTTTTTATTTATTAACATTCATTTTCTACATCAATTCGGGTAGGTATGACCCAGCCGTGCTTGCCTTTTTGGGAGAGAGAGAGGAAGGAAAATCATCCAATTTATCACCCTTATTACGGCTGGCGTAGTCGTATCGAAAATAGCAAGTAGACGCGTCGTAACGACTAATTGGTATTATGTGTGTCGTATGCGAGAAATTACAACTCTGTATGAAATTCTGTTACAATTTTCGTACCACAAGACGCGTTCTAATTCGACAAACACCGCAAAATTAGTCGTTAGAGATTTTGTTGCCGACAACACAGAAAAGTTTTTCCAAATTGACATTACAACAGAATAATATACAAAATGGATTTGAATAAAAAGTATACATCAACATTACAAGAAGATTTAAGAAGATTTTCTAGATTTAAAGTCACAACGGAGAAACAATTTGACGAAATGATCCAGATCTTGCAAATGAATCAAAACTTGGCTAGAGGTTACAGCAATGGCTTGAAAAAAATTAACATCAAGGAAGAATGGAACAAAGTTGGTGCAAAACTCAATATCCTAGGACCGCCGGTTCGAACAGGCGAGGCTTGTATGAAAGTCTGGGCCGAATACAAATTGAGGAAGAAGCTAGTTCATAATAAGGCAGAATGTCGTGCTACAGGTGGAGGGCCATTCAAGCAGTTCACTTTAAGCGACACGGAGGAAGCAGCATCACGCTTGTTACAATTATAGACAATTGTAAGTGCAGGGAACCAAGCAATTTGAATTCAACAGCGTCCAACACTTGGTGAACTGGAGACTGAGGAGGAACTATTTGAAGGGTTTGAAATTAGTGAAGACAAAGAAAACCATAATCCCTGCACACTGACTCCTCCAAGTGTAAACAGACTACACCGAAATATGCAACAGAAGCAGGTTGTGGTCATCCAGGATGTCTGTGCGCACAAATAACCCGCATTATTTTTCGCCTCACGTTTAAATCATTTTGAATATACTCATCTTCATACTCAGCTAAATAATTGCCAGGACTTAACATATTTCAATATTTAATTAAACAAATAATCGTTTTACTTCAACCATTTCAACTGACGCTTTTATTTTTTTTAACCGGGTAGCTCGTAAATTCAAAAAATGTTTATTGTTCCAGAGCACCCTGTTTTTTCATATCTATTACAAAAAAGACGTAGTCGAAAATTGTAGATAATACCAAACATTTCTAGTTACGACAACGCCTACGACTACGTCTACGACACTTGAACGCCTACGACAACGCCAACCATAATAAGGGTGTATGTTGGGCGCCACTTTTGAAAAATAATACTTTTTTAGGTACTTGCCTACTTTTGACCATAACTTTGGTATTTGATAAGTTATAGGTGACAAAGTAGCTTCAATATAAAGCTGAGATGTGTTTCTTTCAAAAACTTAACATTTTTACGAATATACACCAAGTGGTTCCTCATTTATGGGTCAGGGAAAATGTTTGCGCAAAATAACCTTTAAATGGTAACTTTGGGTAATTGTGTCATTTGGGCGACAACTCAAATTTTTTGATAGGTTATAGAAAATAAATGTACATTAATCTAAAGCTAAGAGCTTACTCTTTCAGTATCAATACATTTTTTGGAGATATAGCGACCAATTACAAAGTTATGACCCCAAGAAAACCATTGCGGAAAAAACATATTTTAAAGTTATTTTTGGGTAATTGTGTTATTTTGCCGATATCTTTGGTATTTATTGAGCTAGATGGGTACAATCTGCATCAGTGCAAAGCTGATGCTCTATACTCTCACAACTATATTTATTTTTAGGAATAATCGACTAGTTTCGAAGTTATGATCACCGGAATACAGATGCGCAAAAATTGTTAAAAAATGCAACATATGGGTAATTTTATATTTTCGGCTATATCTTTTGTATTTGGTTAGATAAATTAGTAGAATCTACATCAGTGTAAAGCTAATACTCTCTACTTTCGTAATTATTTTATGCTTTTAAAGAAATATTGACTAGTTTCCAAGTTATGATCCACCGGCAAACAGTTACCCAAAAAAATATGAACAACTTCCATTTATAGGTTATTTCAAATTGTTACCTATATCTTTGGTATTTGTTTAGATACGTTGACAAATAATCTACATAAATGTAAAGCTAATATGTTAAGCTCCCATGATTAATTTAGATTTTGTAGAATTACCTATTATTTCCAAAGTTATGATCCCAAGAAAACGGTTACGGAAAAAATCGTAACGACCACAATTCCTACGCTCATCGTACATTTTTGGCAATATCTTTTGGATTTATTTAGATACGTTAATGAAATCTACATTATTGCAAGGATGAGTTATTCTACTTTTAAAAATATGTCACTTTTTATAAAAAATTTCGACCTGTTTCGATGCTATGAGCTCAGGGGAATGTTTACGCAAAATATCCTAATAACTGCAATTTTTGGGTTATTGTACATTTTTGACGATAACTAGGGAATTTATTTAGATACGTTGATGAAATCTACATCAATGTAAAGCGGATATATTGCAATTTATAAAGATATACAAACTAGTTACAAGTTATGACCCCATGAAAGACGTTACCGAAAAAAATCATAACAGCTGCCATTCTTGGGTTATTGTAAATTTTTGGCGATATCTTTGGCATTTATTTAGATACGTTGATGAAATATGCATCACTGCAAAGCTGAGCTGTTTTACTTTTAAAAATATTTTACTTTTTAAAGATATACCAACTAGTTAGAAAGTTATGACCCCATGAAAGGCGTTACCGGAAAAATCGTAACAACTGCAATTCTTGGGTTATTGTACATTTTTGGCGATATCTTTGGCACTTATTTAGATACGTTGATGAAATCTGCATTAATGTGAAGCGGAGGCACTCTACTCTTATAAATATTTCACTTTTTAAAGATATACCAAATAGTTACAAAGTTATGACCCCATGAAAGATGATACCGAAAAAAATAGTAAAATCTGTAATTCTTGGGTTATTGTACATTTTTGGCGATATCTTCGGCATTTATTTAGATATGTTGATGAAATCTGCATCGGTGTAAAGCGGAGTTATTCTACTCTTATAAATATTTCACGTTTTAAATATATACCAACTAGTTACAAAGTTATGGTTCCATGAAAGACGTTACCGAAAAAATCGTAACACGTGCAATTCTTGGGTTATTGTACATTTTTGGCGATATCTTTGGCATTTATTTAGATACATTGATGAAATCTGCTTCAATGTAAAGCGGAGTTATTCTACTCTTACAAATATTTCACTTTTGAAAGATATACTCAATAGTTTCAAAGTTATGAACCCAAGAAAACGGTTACGGCAAAAAACGTAACATATGCAGTTTTTGGGGTATTTTACATTTTTAGCGATATCTTTGGTATTTATTTAGGTACTTTGATGAAGTCTACGCCAATGTAAAGCTGAGATGTTCTACTCTCAGGAATATTTAATTTTCTACAGATATGCTGTCTAGTTCCAAAATTATGAGCTCAGGGACATGTATGCGAAAAAAAAACCTAAATTGAAAGCTTTTTAATATTTTATGGGAAATTTTATATTTTGGACGATAAAAGTTTTCTTCTCCTCGAGTTCTCCCAGTTCGGTAAATGTTTTTATACAAGTTGTTTCCCAGATATCATATCATTTTCATTTATCCGACTAATCAGAAATAGATATGCCTTACTTCTCATTTCCCGTTGGGCGCCATTATTGCCAGAGAAGTTTTCTTTCCAAATAGTTGCAGTTTTTGGTGAATATGTTTTATATTTATTAGTCTTATTAAAGAAAAAATATGGGATACCATAATTAGAGATTTCTCTTGCGGTTTACCTTAAATGCGCGGCAATGAATGAAAGAAAATTTTCCCAGTTTAAGAAAAAAAAAATTTATTGGACGGTTTTTCTTAAATTTATCTTTAATATTTTCCTGAGTTTAATTTTGAAAATCAATCTCAAATGAACACAATATTTTATTTTTTTATTTATTTAATTTATTTTTTTTTTGTAATTGAATTTTGTTTTAAAATCTCTTTCCCTTGTCCACTTTATGCATTCAACAAAGCCGGTATGAGTTTTTCATAGATCTCCACACCCCTCAAATAGGTGTCGGCCTTTAAATGCTCATCATGATCATGCAGCAAAACTGGTGTATTAATCATGGGCGAGAAACCGATTGCAGGTATTCCAACGTAACGTATGTGACGACTATCCGTGCCACCGGGCAACACTAGTTTGCGTATCTTTAGACCCCTACAAAACAAAGAACAAAAAAGAGAAGAGAAAACTTTAAAGTAAGCCATGCATTTAAGAGCGCTGGTGACTTACAACTCCTCGACTAGACACTTTTCAAAGGCCACCCAATAGATATTGGAGGCGTCAACTTTGGTGGCCTCTACTTTGGGTTCCTTATGTTCAAAATGCAATTGAATGCCGCCGCCGTCTTCTTCGCACCATTGGCGGAGCTAAAAGGGAGAATCAAAGAAAGGTAAAATGTAATAAAAAGAAAAAATGTAAAATGACTTGGGAATTAAAAAAATGAGAGAGATATGTGATAAAAATGAAAGAGAGAAAGATCTCTCAAACAAAATAAAAAAAAATAAAATGTTATTTCAATGCCGCCACCGGCTTCTTCACACCATTAGATTAGACAAAAGGGAGTATGTGAAAAAAGTGAAATTAAATAAAAAGTGAAATGAAATAAATGAGGGATAGGTAAAATGAAATAAAAAGAAAAATGGGTTGGGAATTAAAAAAATGAGAAAGGTATCTCCAAAAAATTAATGAAAAAAAAATGTTTAATGCCGCCGTGGGCTTTTTCAAAAACCATCGGAATAGATAAGAAGGAGAATGAGGTAAAAGTGAAATGAAATAAAAAGAAAAAATGATAAATGGGTAAAATTCAAAAATTGAGAGAGAGAGAGAGATCTCCGAATAATGAGAGAGAAAGATCTCAGACATTCAAAAGAGAAAAATGTCTAATAAATGCCGGCTTCTTCACACGATTGACGTAACTAAAAGGTAGAATGAGGTAAAGATAAAATGAAATAAAAAGAAAAAATAATAAAAGGTTAGAATGATGTAAAGATAAAATGAAATAAAAAGAAAAAATAGAATAAGAAACAAATCAAAAATTAAGAGAAATCTCCGAAAAATGAGGGAGAGAAAGATCTCAAATATTAAAAAAAGAGGAAAATTGTCGAAAAAAAAATTATTTTTCAATAGCCTGCCAAAAACATATGTTTCATCGCAGAAAATTTGATTTTCTTGGCAGAGAAGAGACGAACCTCTCCTCTTTCTTGCCAGCTATTATTTCTCCCAGATTTATTTTACGAAAAAAATAAAGATTCCAGAGCTGATTCCCTTACCTGTTTCTCAAATTCCTGATGATCCACGGTAATGGCCAGGCGTATGTCAAAGCCCACACTCAAAAATGGCGGCACAACATTACTCTGGACTCCACCGTTAATGGTGGTCAAATTAATGGTCGTAACATCACCTATCGTCAGCGAAGGATCATTTTCCAGACGTTTGGATTCCTCCGCTCTTAGGGCCATCATTTTCCCCAAAATATAGTTGAGTTTCTCTCCAACGGTATTTTTTAGGAGCAATGAACCATGGCCAGCCTGGCCGGATATTTGGAATTGGATTTCTGGAACAAAGGATTTTGAGTCCTTGTGAAGTGGGAGGTGCTTCCTACTTACGCCATATAGTTTTCTCAGCATAGTATATGGAATAGATATCATCTGTGGCAGCAATGCCCTCGTCCAGGGAGAAGCCCACATTGAGCTTTTTAAAATCGGGACTTTTGACAAATGCCTCCATGCCCAAATGGCCACCGATTTCTTCATCTAGAAAGAAGAACAAAGGGGATTTTTTTCAGAATATTTTTCCAAAACCTTTTCTGAGGGACTACCGGCCCCTAAAAGTGGATTATTAAAAAAATTTGTTGAAGGACCAAAAGGCCTTTAAACGTGGATTTTTTAAATAAATTTTGAAAAGGACTATCAGACCTCTAATCTTGGATTTTTTAAATAAATTTGTTGAAGGACCATAAGGCCTTTAAACGTGGATTTTTTAAATAAATTTGTTGAAGGACCATAAGGCCTTTAAACGTGGATTTTTTAAATAAATTTGTTGAAGGACCATAAGGCCTTTAAACGTGGATTTTTTAAATAAATTTGTTGAAGGACCATAAGGCCTTTAAACGTGGATTTTTTAAATAAATTTGTTGAAGGACCATAAGGCCTTTAAATGGGGATTTTTTCAATAAATTTTCAAAAGGACTATCAGACCTTTAAATGGGGATTTTTTCAATAAATTTTCAAAAGGACTATCAGACCTTTAAATGGGGATTTTTTAAATAAATTTTCAAAAGGACTATCAGACCTTTAAATGGGGATTTTTTAAGTAAATTTTCAAAAGGACTATCAGACCTTTAAATGGGGATTTTTTAAATAAATTTTCAAAAGGACTATCAGACCTTTAAATGGGGATTTTTTAAATAAATTTTCAAAAGGACTATCAGACCTTTAAATTGGGATTTTTTAAATAAATTTTTGAAAATATTTTTTCGGTTATCTTTTTCGTGAGAGCTACCAGTTTCTTTTGTTTTTTTTTTTTGAGATAAAATCTAAAGTGTAATTTCATCTCACTTTTCATATTTGCTTTTCAAGTGAACAAACATCGGATAAGCTTATCACTCAGGGTCACATGCATCCGTACATATCTTAGGATCATAAAACTACTTATCTGAGGGAGTCAAAAATTCCCACTGCAAGGGAGATAAGAAAGTAAACAATGACAACAAAATTTATCACCAGCAAAGTAAGATGACATTTCAAAAAAAATCCAAAATTCCAAAAAAAAAAAAAAACAAATATCGGATATACCTACCCGCCACGAAGGTCATGTGCACGGTACGTTTCATTTGCACTCCCTTCTTCCTTAGAGCTCTAATGGCAGCCAAATATTGCATTCCCACACATTTCATGTCCTGGGAGCCGCGTGCGAAAATTCTTCCCTCCTCATCCATTTCGGCACCAAAGGGAGGATGCGTCCATTTCTCTTCGAAAACGGGCACAACATCCATGTGAGAATTCAATATCACCGAGGGCAATTCGGGCTGGGTACCCTGCCAGCTTATTACCACAACGGGTTTGGTTTTATCCGCCGGATAGTAGACTTCTATGGGCAGAGCCAAATCTTGGGCTTGCTTTTTCAGGAATTCTATGCAGGGTTCTGGGAGAAAAAATTAAAAAAAATTAATTTTGGAAATTTATTCGGCAAAAAATTTAATTTTCAGTCAAATTTATACCAACCATAATCAATATCTGGATGAACACTGGGAATCCGTAAATATTCCCGAAACAATTGAATTTCCTCATTATCTTCCCAGGCACTCATTTTTTGTTTTAAAAATCTGTGAAAGAAAAATTGGAATAAGTTCTGTCAGATTGCTTCTTTTAATTGCTGAAAACTTGATAAGGGTTTTTTTATTTTTTTAATTTTTTTTTTTTTTTTTTTTTTGGGAAAAAATTATTTCGATGGAAATTAAAAAGAAAAATTGAACAAAGACTTGGAAAAAATTGGCATTAAATTTTTTTTTTTTATTTTTTTTTTTTGAGAAATTTTAATTCAGTGGCTTTAAAAGTAACAGTGGCGCCCAAGTGTTAATTATCCCCAAAAAAAGGGTTTTTTATTCATAATTTCTTTGTTTTTTTGCTTTTTTTTTCGAAAAAATTATTTCAATGGAATTTAAAAAAATTGAAAGAAGATTTGGAAAAATTTTGAATTAAAAAATATTTTTATTATTTTTTATTAATTTTTTTTTTTTTTTTTTTTTTGAAAAATATTTATTCAATAGCTTTAAATGGGACAGTGGCGCCCAATTGTGAATTATCCCCAAAAAAAAAGAAAAAAAAACAAAAAAAAAATACTTAAAAAACCTATCTCACACTTTTCAAAAATTATCTTCTTCTCAATTTGATCTTCTCTTCTCTCACTTTCACTTTGTGTGGGGGGGGACTCCGAACGACTGCTCAAAGCTAACTGAGTTTTGCCACTCTCTATGGCTGGGTATTTAAATTATTTCCCTCAGCATTCAATACAAATGCATGTGATCAAGAAATTTCGGTTTTTATTATATGTGAGCGGGTGGAGGAGGTGTTTTTTTTTTTTTTTTTTTTTTTTTTTTTTTTTGAAACAGAGATCGGAGAATTGCAAATGTATGCTTTTCACAGTGAAGAGCAAAACTAGGGGAACTCACATAACTTTTATTTTAAAGAAACGTATTTACATCGAAGTTGCATTGGAAATTTTTATGAACCCTTTGTGGAGGACGTACCAGCAGATCTTGTGGGAAATTTGAAGAGAATCGGATGCTTATTTCGGATTTTATGATCATTTTGATTATTCGAAATGTTGACCCTTTGTGTGGGAGGTACCACAAGGAATGGTCCGATCTCTACAATCTTCATAACAGATCTTGTATTAATGGAAATATTGAGATGTGCCAAGTCTAAATGTAATCGGATGTTAACTTCGCGTTTTATGAGCTTCATGGATATTCGAATTTTGAGCCTTTGTGGGGGAGGTAGCAGAAGGAGTGCGCCAATAAATTTCATCTTTGCAGCAAATCTTGGTTTAATAAAAATAATGGCATGTGTGAAATTTGAAGAGAATCGGATGCTTATTTCGGATTTTATGATCATTTAAGTTTTTCAAAATTTAGACCCTTTGTGGGGGAGGTACCAGAAGGACTGAGCCAATACTTTCCACATTTACAGCAAATCTTGGGTTAATAAAAATAATGGCATGTGTAAAATTTGAAGAGAATCGGATGCTCATTTCGGATTTTATAACCGTTTTAGTTATTCAAAATTTAGACCCTTTGTGTGGGAGGTACCAGAAGGAATGGTCCGATCTCTACCATATTTATAACAGGTCTTGTGTTGATGGAAATATGGAAATGTACCAAGTCTGAATGGAATCCGATGTTAATTTCGCGTTTTATGAGATTCATGGATATTCGAAATTTTGACCCATTGTGGGGGAGGTACCAGAAGGACTGAGCCAATACATTCCATATTTACAACAAATCTTGTCTTAGTAAAAATAATGGGATTTGTGAAATTTTAAGAGATTCGGATGCTTATTTTGGATTTTATGATTGTTTTGGTTATTCAAACTTTAGACCCTTTGGGTGGGAGGTACCAGAAGGAATGGTCCGATCTCTACCATCTTTGTAACAGATCTTGTGATGATGGAAATATTGAGATGTGCCAAGTCTGAATGGAATCGGATATTAATTGCGCGTTTTATGACCTTCATGGATATTCGAAATTTTGACCCTTTGTGTGGGAGATACCAGAAGGAGTTCGCCGATATATCCCACTTTCACAGTAGATCTTGTGTTAGTAAAAGTAATGGGATGTGCGAAATTTGAAGAGAATCGGATGCTTATTTCGGATTTTATGATCATTTTGGTTATTCAAAATTTAGACCCTTTGTGGGGGAGGTACCAGAAGGAATGGTCGGATCTCTGCCATCTTTATAACAGATCTTGTGTTGATGAAAATATTGAGATGTGCCAAGTCTGAATGGAATCGAATGTTAATTTCACGTTTTATGAGCTTCATGGATATTCGAAATTTTGACCCTTTGTGGGGGAGGTACCAGAAGGACTAAGCCAATACTTTCCATATTTACAGCAAATCTTGTGTTAGTAAAAATATTTGTATGTGTGAAATTTGAAGAGAATCGGATGCTTATTTTGGATTTTATGATGGTTTTGGTTATTCAAAATTTAGACCCTTTGTGGGGGAGGTACCAGAAGGAATGGTCCGATCTCTACCATCTTTGTAACAGATCTTGTGATGATGGAAATATTGAGATGTACCAAGTCCGAATGGAATCGGATGTTAATTTCGTGTTTTATGAGCTTCATAGATATTCCAAATTCTGACCCTTTGTGGGGGAGGTACCAGAAGGAATGGACCGATATATTCCATCTTCGTAGCAAATCTTGTGTTAGTTAAAATATTGCGGTGTGTGAAATTTGAAGACAACCGGAGGTTTATTTCGGATTTTATGATCATTTTAGTTATTCAAAACTTTGACCCTTTGTGGGGGAGGTACTAGAAGGAATGGTCCGATCTCTACCATCTTCATAACAGATCTTGTGTTGATGAGAATATTGAGATGTGCCAAGTCTGAACGGAATCGAATGTTAATTTCGCGTTTTACGAGCTTCGTGGATATTCGAAATTTTGACCCTTTGTGGGGGAGGTACCAGAAGCAGTGGACCGATATGTTTCATCTTCACACCAGACCTTGGGTTCATGAAATTATTGCGATGTGTGAAAATTGAAGACAATCGGACTCTTACATCACATTTTATAAGAATTATAATTATTCAAAATTTTGGGCCTTTGTGGGGGAGGTACTGGATGGAGTGGATCGATATTGTCCATTTTCGCACCTGACCTAGCACTGATGGAAATGTTAGGATTTGCAAAGTTTAGGCAAACTCGGATTATTCTTTCTCCTTCTGTGCAGAAAATACATTTTTTGAATATTTCGACCTTTTGTGGGGAAGGTACCAAAAGGAGTGGATCAATATTGCCCATCTTCGAAGTCGATCGAAGTTTGGTAATAATATTACGATATACCAAGTTTGAATCAAATCGGATATTCCCTTCGAGAGTTATCGTGTGCACCAGCCAGACAGACAGACAGACGGATGGACATCGCTAGATCGACTCCAAATGTCCTGAAACGGACTTGGTCCAAAGAGACCATGGGTCTAAAACCGTTATTTCGATGAGGCACGTTTTGGCCGTTTTAAATTATATATACCTTCTCTAGCCATATGGCTGAGGGTATAAAAATCCACACCTTATGAGTCTGATAGGTCAGACGCCTTATGAGTCTGATAGGTGTTGGAAAAATGCGTTTTAAGAATCCAAGCCTTTTGGGTCTGATAGGTTTTTGGAAAAATATGTTGAAAATATCCACGACCTATAGCCCTGATAGGTATGGGGAAAAATATGTTTTAAAAATTCCGTAATTCAATTTTTTTATAAAAAATGAATCGACGCATTGGGCGCCACTGTGACTCGAGTTATCTTTGCTAAATGTTCGGCCAATGACGAGGACAAATTTGGGTATATTTCCAAAGCTTAGAAATTTAATATCATTGCATAAATTAATTGTTTGTAGTTTTCCCCCCCGAAGAATTAGCTTTCCGATGAGTTTTTCATTTTTCTCTTATCTCCAGACGAAGGCATGGTAAGAGAATTATGATTAATTGCTGTCATAGTTTGGCGGAGCTCACTGACTTGTAGTTTTTTTAATGTTTTTGATTTTTAATTGGGATTTGATGAATTAATGTCTTAGACGTACGTATAGATATTTGACTAGGTATCGCTTGAGCTCTCCAGTTTATAATAAATAAATGCCTACCTCTAGTTCTTATATTTTTATACCCTCAGCCATACGGCTACAGAGAACGAAATGAAGTAGGTTGATAAAATTGTACTCAAATATATATTATGTCTGCAGGTATTTAAAATGGGCCATGTAGGTCTACACTTTGGTATACCCCCCAACAGCGGTACCTTCCTATTTTCGGTATTTTGAGGATTTAAGCGACATTATTTACCTGAATTGCTTCAAATTTGGTATTTGAAGTTTGTAATGGCTACTACAGCCTCAGACAGAAAATTGTCTATGCAGGTCCAGGACTTCGTATAGCTTCCATATAATGGTACCTCCCTGCATTCGGTATTTTGAAGATTTTAGCGACATTATTCAGCGAAAATGTTTCAAATTTGGTATTTGAAGTTCGTAATGGATACTACAGCCTATGTTAGAAAATTGTCTGTGCAGGTCTACGTGTTCGTATAGTCCCCATATAATGGTACCTCCCTATTTTCGGTATTTTGATGATTTTAGTGATATTATTTAGCGGAATTGTTTCAAATTTGGTATTTAAAGTTCGTAAAGGATACCACAGCCTATGACAGAAAATTGTCTCTGCAGGTGCACGTCTTCGTATAGCCCCCATATAACTGTACCTCCCAATATTTGGTTTTTTGATGATTTTAGCGACATTATTCACCGGAATTGTTTCAAATTTGGTATTCGAAGTTCGTAGTGGATAATGCAGCCTATGTCAAGGACTTCGCACAGCTCCCATATAAGTGTACCTCCCGTAGTTCGGTATTTTTGATGATTTTAGCGACATTATACACCGGAATTGTTTCGAATTTGGTATTTTAAATTCGTAATGGATACTATAGCCTAAGACCGAAAATTGTCCTTACAGGTTCAGGTCTTCGTATAGTGCCCATATAAGGGTACCTACCCATATTCGGTATTTTGATGATTCTAGCGACATTATTCACCGGAATTGTTTCAAACTTGGTATTTGAAGCTCATAATGGATGCTACAGCATATGACAGA